GCCCAATTAAAGTACCTCCTATTTCTATCACTTTCATCGATTTCTGTTTTTTTTTTTCTTTTCTTTTTGTCAGAAATAACTCAATTATATTTCGCGTCGAATGACTAATTCAGACTAATTTTCCTCAATCTTCTTACCGATCGAAGATTGTCGTTAAACTGTGTCGATTTCTATGCAAATTCACAGTTCTGAGAATAAAATTGAAATGTATAAAGTAATTTTCTTCATACTACGTTTATTCTGTGTGTTTTTATACTTTAATATCTCCCATGAAAATGGATGAAAATCTAAAGTCTATAACTATCGAATAACTATCGAGTAATAATTTGTCATTAGACGGCAGGTCTAGAAGTAAAAATTCTATTTGAAGAGATTGCTAGATAAAGCAAGTTTCTATTTTCCACTCAGGTTCCACGTCTTTAAGAATTTCCTATTGATAAAAATTCAAAGATAGAATGGAAATCCGCAGTCTACTTGTCATAATACCGTCAAATACCTGGAATTTACCTGAAAATTACAGAATCTAGACGAAAGACGCAATGACGAAGAAATATCGAGCGAATCCTCGCAATATCCTTTATTATCCCAATATTCAAAAATTACAAATGAAACGCAATGGAAAGAAGCTGTTGGATTTTCGATTCCCGGAAAAAATTCTATTTATTCCGGGATATGGTTAAAAAAAAAAAAAAAAAAAAAAGAAAAGAAAGAAGAAGAGTAATCGGCAGCAGCTGGCACTCGGGAATCAGTAGTCCCGAGGCGTGCCCAACGGGGAAAACGATGCCCGCCGTTATTCGATAGCGTAAGTCCGTCGTGCGCGTTTATATCTTCTCCCTTTTATATCCTATTCCATCGGTTGATATCGCAACAACACGGAACGAGGCGATACGAGGAGACAACCAGGTATATTTTCACCCTAAAGATGCTAGCCGAGGGTGCAAAGGACATTTATACGCATCCTTCGTGCCACGCTTTCGACGTATTGCCCACCCTTTCTAACCTATCGATGTATCGTCCCTCCTCCCATTTCTCTCCCCATCTTTTTCTCTTTCACCCTTCTTTGACTCGACGAACGATGAAAAAAAAAAGAAATGGATCCATTATACGGGAGAAACAGTTTCTTTCGCATCTTAATCCACGTAATTGACCGTCTCGCGATGATATCCGGCGAGGCAGAAGATGTGAAGAGAGTGGAAACGAAAAACTAAGATCACTGAGTAGAGTTCTTATTATCTCAGCTGTCGAAACACTTGGAGTATTGCATTTTATAATGCAAATTCCGCTTTCCGAGAACCGGATACGAATATAAGTACACGAATTCGAGTTTCTTTTTGCGTTTGCTAAAACGACATTTCTTTTTAACCTGAATCCACATACACAACAAATGCTTTACATTCGAATGATGAACAAAGATAAAAAAAAAAAAAAATACTTGAGTGTCCACACAGAAAAAAATTCATCGACTAATTGGAGTTTACATTGAATAATATTTCATATCTAATTAAATTGAAATTGAATGATGTTCGAAATATTCGAATTAAATGGTAAATATTCGAGTATAATGTAGATCTTATTAACGTATAACCAAAGAAAAGCGTGTAAAACAATTATTTTCCCGATATTAAAAAAAAGAAAAAAGAAGAAGAAAATCATCGAGATTCTTCGTTTGATATCATTCCCCTTTACTCTCGTCCCTCAGTTAAGGAAAGAGTCGCGTCACGAAATGCGGTCACGCGACCCCCACGATCGTGGGTAATGATCTTTATTTATTTATCTTGCGTCCGCTGGAAAATACGGGCAACTACCACCGTCGCGGCGCAAGAACCACCGGGGAAACTGTGTTTCGATGTCGTAACCGGCTGAATTATAGCGATAGAGGTAAGTGAAATTTTTATTACGTTAACGCGCTTTCCGCGACAAAAGTTTCCCCCTCGACTATTGCTATCCCGTGCACTTTGCGAAAATTCCACGGCAGGAATGCGTGAAGCTGGCAAACCCGATTCGTTCGCGTCGCGACAACAACGACGGTGGAAACATCACCGATCGATCGATCGATACAGCTATTTTTGTCACGGTTTATTGATACTTTAGCTAGGCATAAAATTGCGTTACTTACTAAACGATCAGTGGCCGTAAGTAGTCTCCGTTTGCGCAACGATATTAGCTTAAGAGGCAAGTGGAGCAATTCATAAGGGTGGTTAATCAGCCTTCTATCCCTTTTCTCGCACAGTCACTTTGCACGATTTGTCGTTCGTCTGTTACTAGATCTAGAATCTAGGATCGCCGATTCGACTTTTATCTTAACTGTTGTACGATCGAATTGATGTTCGATATCAACGCGAGCATTAATCTAGCTACTCGTCAAATATTTGTACATTCTTACTTTTTAGCGAAATAGTTTTCAGTAGTATTACTATTAAATTTTTGTAGTATACTAAAGTGATAATAAATTTAAATAATATATAAATTAAGTAACAAGATCATTTAAACTTCGTAGAGACGTAGAGACGAACAAAACAGAGTCTTTGAGATGGAAAAAGAGTTTTCACTCTTAAAAATAAGCCCAGTGCCTTGGTGTACTTGAATCTAATTAATTAGCACGCAAATGGTTTTTGTAACCAATGTGTCTATATTTTTTTACTTATTTGACATAACGTAGTAAATTATACAAGATTTGAAAAATAGGAATAACGATAACCTACAAAACAGAAGAGCAAGAAAAAACTACACGAATGAAATTTATACCAATTCAGTAAATGTCAAGTGTCGACTTTTCAATGCTATCAATTAACACAACGTGGACAATGTAACCTAGTTGAATTATTACTCAAACTCGGGCGCAGAAGATATTTCAATTATCGGTGACGTTCGATTAAAAATAATCAACGCCTCAACAAGCCAACATCCGTATTAATATCGTTTCTAAACATCGTACGCGATTTCGAAGTCGCTTACTTTCTAACCCGGCCTAGGCCCTTCGTTATTTTTCAAACATTTACGTGAGGAACGTGAGATCTAGACGCGTCCCTGCTTCTCCACCGAAATACACATTCGCAGTAACTTGTTTCAGACTGCTGATAAATAGTTCACTCGTTCGGTAGAGTCGAGACACAGCGAGCGGGCGAAAAGAGGGAGGGTAAAGCAAGAGACACTCTAGACGAGTGCGTGAGCAAAGGACGAGTGACGGGGTAAAGAGATGTGGAGCTTAAATCTTTGATGCCCTTAGGTTGCTTGGTCGGCTGCTCTGTTCTCTCTCTCTCTCTCTCTCTCTCTCTCTCTCTCTCTCTCTCTCCGTTATTTTTCCTCTGTTCTGAGTGTTAAGAAACCACGTGCTAAAGAAGAAACGTTGCAAGCAACCAAACTTTTAGGGACTCCAGCAACGAATATACTTGTGTGAATATAGAAAGTCGATAGAATGGCTACGAATGGAAAGAAAAAAAAAAAAAAGAAAAGCATGTAAAAATCGCTTCTGTACGTCGAGATTTGACGAAGGAAAGAGCAGAGAAACTTAATCTATCCGGTTTAGTGGCGCCATCGCTACCGATTTTTTAAAAATAAACAGGCCGCGGTACACGTTTGCAAATTGCGCCTTTTATCTCGATTAACACTTGCTTTCGCTTAATTAAAAACCGAAGGTCGTCATGTTTAGATTGCCGTCAGATTAGATTTTTTTAGTAAATAGCTCGATCGCATCGAGCTTCGTAGCCTGTATCTATGTCATAGGTTGTAAATGAAAAATAGAAGGAACGTCAGTCTTGTCTTATAAGAATTATGATCAAGAAATTGTGAACGTGGCCAATGGATACACCAATTAACTGTGAATAATACGAAAGTTTGACGCTTCTCTTGTGATTTTCTACTGACGACATCGATCATGTAACTATCGAGGTATACTTTTTTGTACATTTGCGTTCTTCAATAATATTTGTAGTAAGAAGTAATAAATCAAATTCACACGTGGATCTACTAGTTGCCTGTTGCCTTGCATTGTCTATATATTCCATTTTTTTTTTCGTCTTCTCGGTATTGATACATTTACTGTACTTCATCCTTATATTTCAATGTTACTCTTATTTTAGGAAACAAAAGAAATTCACAACGCTTACAAACATATTACGTAGAATCTAACCAAGAGATTGACAAGAACTTTTTCAAAACTAAATAAGAAATTTTTTAACGATAAACAATAAAAATTGCAAACGACTAAAACTAATTAGCAATGTAAATCGAACATTCGTTGTATACTTGTACTCGAGCATTTGAAAAAAAAAAAAAAAAAAAAAAAAAAAAAAAA